TCGTATCATTTTGGGAGTTCTCCCCTCCACGACGGTCCAGTGCATGGTTGGTTATGGCGTTGGACTGCTGAGTCGAAGATCGCGGGATCTAATCCCAACCTGCTTTGCCGCATTTCGATAAAGCTGGAAGCCCGGTTTCTGTGCGATGTGTGTCACAAGATGGTAAAATCTTCCAAAGCCATCCACTACGGCGTCTCTGATATTATTGTGGCTTTGGGGCGTAGAACACTACCAGTCAACTGGGAAGTTTTTTATAGTGCCAAAACAAGAATCGTCATCTGGCTTGCTCGCGCTTGTTCAAGAAAACGTTGCTCTTAAATTCCCCGTCCGGAATCGTACGCCAAATACATCACGCTGATAGCGCGCTTGTTTTCGTGCTATCTCCATGGCCCGCAAATGCTGGGCGCACGTAGATAACACGAATACAGGCACGTGAGATCGATGACGATAATCGTTGTTGGCCAAGAAGACGTTACAAATGCTACTGCAGTGTACTGTTTTTCGAGCAAAAAGTACTCGAGAACAAGCTGCAGTTGTGGTTGTCCGTATTGCTGTCTGGCAACCTTAGGTCATCATCATCATCATCATCATCATCAGCCTGACTACATTTATTGCAGGACAAAGGCCTCTCCCATGTTCCGCCAGTTAACCCAGTCATGTGCTTGCTGCTGCCAATTTATACCCGCAAACTTCTTAATCTCATCTGCCCACCTAACCTTCTGTCTCCCCCATACCCGCTTACCTTCTCTGGGAATCCAGTTAGTTACCCTTAATGACCAGCGGTTATCCTGTGTACGCGCTACATACCGGGCCCATGTCCATTTCCTCTTCTTTATTTCAACTATGATATCCTTAACTCCTGTTTGTCCCCTAATACACTCTGCTCTTTTCTTTTCTCTTAAGGTTACACCTACCATTTTTCTTTCCGTTGCTCGCTGCGTCGTCCTCAATTTTAGCTGAACCCTCTTTGTAAGTCTCAAGGTTTCTGCTCCGTAGCTAAGTACCGGCAAGATACAGCTGTTATATACCTTCCTCTTGAGGGATAGTGGCAATCTACCTGTCATAATTTGAGAGTGCTTGCCGAATGTGCTCCACCCCATTCTTATTCTTCTAGTTACTTCAATCTCGTGGTTCGGCTCTGCGGTTATTACCTGCCCTAAGTAGACAAAGTATTTTACAACTTCAAGTGCACTATTACCTCTCTCGAAGCACTGCTCCTTTCCGAGGATGTTGTACATTACTTTCGTTTTCTGCAGATTAATTTTTATACCCACCTTTCTGCTCTCCTTGTCTAACTCCGTAATCATAAGTTGCAATTCGTCCCCTGAGTTACTCAGCAATGCAATGTCATCGGCGAAGCGCAGGTTACTAAGGTATTCTCCATTAACTTTTATCCCTAACTGTTCCCATTCTAGGCTTCTGAAAACCTCCTGTAAGCACGCGGTAAATAGCATTGGGGAGATTGTGTCCCCCTGCCTTACACCCTTCTTGATTGGTATTCTGTTGCTTTCTTTATGAAGCACTATGGTAGCAGTTGATCACCTGTAGATTTCTTCCAGTATGTTCAGATATACTTCATCTACGCCCTGATTCCGCAGTGTCTGCATGACGGCTGATATTTCTACTAATCAAACGCCTTCTCGTAATCTATGAAGGCTATGTATAGTGGTTGGTTATACTCTGAGCATTTCTTTATTACCCGGTTGATAGTATGAATGTGGTCAATTGTTGAGTAGCCTGTTCGAAATCCTGCTTGTTCCTTTGGTTGATTAAATTCTAATGTTTTCTTTACTCTGTTAGCAATTATCTTAGTTACACCACAGCAAACCGTTGTGGCAAGCACAGGCCGAAGTGAGGCTCTGTTTGAGTCGCAGTTACCGATTGCTGGTTCCTCCCGTTTATATTAGGTCGAAATTCGCGTGGATGCGTATGCTCGGTGCAACTTATGAACGTGGTGCTCGTCAAATTTTTCAAACTGTGTAATACCTTCGCTGCGTCGCTAGAACAGACATGGGTGGTACTACAGATTGCTTCCGCCTGCCATAATGGGAAACATCGCCGAGAAGGGAGGTAAGCCTCATTAAGTTTTGCGTTTTACGTATACGATCCACACGCAAGTTGACTTTAAGCGTAACTATGAAATTAGTTAAACGTAACTCAGAAACTCAGAAGTTGACGGGGCACATCCATGATACAACAAGAACAACAATAGTTATGCACGCTCGCACGTTTATAGTTAACAGAAACAGGCAAAATATGTGTTGTTGGTTCTTTTTTTGTGCTTACGCCTACGAGCATGGCGCATAAGTTCTTCACTAGCAAGGTGACCTGAAAGAAAACGTTCGCCGTTCCTGTCAGTGCAGGATGTGCCGTGTCATGCTCAAGTAGGATGAGATCCTAGCGTACAGTCGGTCACACACTATGCCGGCCCACGCGAGTGTGTCAGAAAAATGTCTCTTGCTAGAGCTATGCTTTTGTGGCCTGCTTTGTACAATACGCATGGTGCGATACCCGAAGAGGGGAACGCGTACAGACGGACTCGGACTCGTCTGGAGCGGTAATGCGCGTGGATGATGCCCGCAGCTCTTGCCTCACGTTAGCCGCAAGTTTCCGGTCCTGCTTTTACTTATAGCACAATGACCTAGCACGCGGTATGACTACGTTATGTATCATTACGGCGTCTGTATAGACATATATCTTTAAAAAACGGCATTTGAAGCGGGCGTCTAGTTGCTTCAAAAGTGTGATTCCGTTTGAATGAACGGAGCACCGTGCAGTAATCACCGTCTCTATGGTGGAGGCCACTGGAGGAGTGGAGCTGGCGCGCGGTAAAGGTCTGGCTCATGGTGTAAGATAGAAACAATTATTTGTATCTTACACCGTGGCCTGGGCGCAGCTTCGGGTATACCCGCGTGCTCTTCAAAAGGAAAAGGTGCGACGCTGCGTCAAAAAACCACGCGTTGACGGTCTGCAAAGCATACGTGTAGTCGGGCGTGAAATGGTGCGTGTGTGTGTGTGCTTGCGGTGGGGGGTGGGTATGCAGTTGAAGCACGTGGATTCCCATACATAGCACAATAGATGTTAATGAAGGCACGAGATAGGCTAACAGTAGTATACGAAGCGCTACTAGAGGCACGACAGAGAGCAGTTGGTATACAGTGCCGAGCACGCTAAGATGAACTCCTCGTCAGTAGTCAAACCGCTGAGGTTTTAGCCTTTGTTCTATTACACAAGAAATATTGCCCGTTGTATGAGCTCTAATCATGGTGTCTATAAAATAATTTTCCGGGTTATGTTTAGACATGAACTTCTGATGGGACGTCAGACTCTGTAGCTTTGCTGACATGCAGCGCCACCTGTCGACGCAGTTTTGGGTAGTGCAAAGCTCGACTCGTTTGCACAGTGTGCTACGTAACCAGGTGCAACTATAGCAAGGGTGAAACAACGATTGAGCTAAACGTTTTGTGTGTTTGCGCATTGGACACTTGGAAGAAGAGCCACGAAATTTTCTCTGCTAGTCAGGCGCGCCATGAAACCGCCATGACATGCTTATGGTTCACTCACCAGGGCGACGGCGAAAACAATAGCAGACGCAACAGCTCCGCGCTCTACAAAGAAGGACCGCAGTCGACGCTTCGATGCGATACTGTTGCGTCGTGAATTGCCACGGACGTAAAGGAATTTTGTTTTACCAAGTTTTGTAGCTGTTCCAAAGCATAACGGCGAGAGCGCTGGATAATAGCCGTTGCGAACGTGTTGTGTAAGCGAATTGCACACGTGCACCATATTTTCTCTCTTGTGATAACTCGTGAAAGTTCACAAGATAATTCGCTCCTATTCTGTAAAAATGTTATTGCATGCGCATTCGAAACACAGCTGCGCATTCAGTTAGAGGCTCTTACACCACCATTAAGGTTTTTTCTACAAAACTAAGCTACCCCTTTCCGGATCTTGTCGGACCATCTTTCACCAAGGAGAAATGTACTTTTTTCCTCCCCTCGAGTTACGACCCTCGGGAAAGCCTAACTTAACCTAACCGTTTCTTCATTACAACCAATTTAACCGCAGTTTTCGCGTTTTCGATCTTGTTGTCGAACAAAAAACGTCATCGAAATGAAGCACGATCGACAAAAGTACGCATTTATTTCGCTATAACCCGTAATTCGCAATATTAGTGGTCGTTACAACGAGGTTTCATTGCATCATCTTTTACCGAGTGCTCCAGTTTTTCACGGAAGAATAAACGAGGCGTTTAATCGAGAGCTTTCCAGACTTTTGTATTTTATTCTTTTACTGCGAAAAATATCCAAAGGGCAACCTATCGTGCTAAAATAATGCTTTCGTGGTACGAGGTAAAACACCATGAAAGAAGCCGCCTTGTTTCACGCTCGGCAAGCATCGTGGCGCGTGGTCCACCATGCGCATGCCCACGAGAGGTCACGTGACGCTTTCGTGCGCATCTCATGGCGCATTCCAGTGGTCGTTTGAGAGTGCTCTGACCATATTCGAAATCGGTGAACTTAACACCCTTTGCGGCACCGGGCTTACAGCAATAGATATAGGTTCCTCATCATACAGATCCCTCCTCCATGGACTTCATGGAGGGAACGCAGCTGCATAATTTCGGTTGAGGAAAAAGTAAATAACGAAATAAAAATATCCCTACAACCAGAACAAGCAGGCGTGACAATCATGTTGCTCATTGCTTATAACGTGGTTGCCCACTCAGTTAAGAAGTGATGCTTGGTTGCTCTTTTACATCAATTCTTTCATAGCCATCAGAGCGCTGTGCAACAACCACCCGAATGTATCATAAGTAGTTATCGCCTAGGCTCCAGCGGACCGACAGAGTTCTTCGATTACGTAACGTATCTTGACCAGTGTTGCGTCTACGTCATCCGCGTCGACGCCGTTGTAGAGGACTGCTCACGCCTTAGTCAGCCCAATGGGAATCATCTTGACAGTGACGGCCTACTGGAGGTCTTCGTACTCCCTCGGCGTCACCTAAAATGAGGCGCCACGAGTCCGGCTGCCGCCACGATTCCCGCCTGGCGCATGCCCCCGCCGAGGCACTTGCGAGCTCTCGATACCCTGCACGAAGTATGCGCCCTCTTATAATTTGCAACAAGAGATATCTGCATATGTATCTATAAAATGTATCTATAAAAATGATAATCAACGTCAACATTTATTGACAGCAGTGCAGAAGCTATAAAACCGAAGCGCATGCCCGCTACTACGCCCAGAAATTGGCACTTCCGTGTACTGATTATATTCACATCGGCCTTGCTGAAATATATGCTGCTGTATTTGTTATGAGACTCAATATGTTGTGGAAAGACGTCGGTAAAGTACACTTATTGTTGACTTTGCAAGAATATCTTTCTCTTTTTTTCGATTTCTTGGACAGCACCAACTTAACAATAACGTGCCCGTTTTCCCAAGTAAACATGGCGTCCATGACTTAGTGGGTCAGCGTGTGGCCTCAAACACGCTGTTTAGTTCTCCAAGAAAAAACATACTCGTAATATGACATGCAACGAACCATCAAAATGTTTCTGCCATTCACATTTTTCCTTGTGTAATTGCCTAGACTCGCTAACGATGCGAGCGAACGAAACGGAAATCAGCCCTAAGCGGCCGTACTAATTTCGGAGGAACGGGAATGTGCGGAAGCTCCGCGTCCTTGGCTTTTGATCCACTGTCAAGGTAAGTTGTCGCTGAGTATAGCAATACTGTATATTCGACGATTATAACAAGTGCTTTATGCCGGGGTTCACCAAGACTTCAGTGACATACTTCCGTGACATACTTCCGTGACGGAAATGACGTATCGTTCATTATAAATTTTAAAGTCGAATACAATCTATAAGCATAAAATATAAATTATGGACAATCTTCCCTAAGGGCCCAAACAGCAGCGGCGCGCGCGGCGTTGACCCGGTTGAAACAGGCGTCGACGCGGATGCTGGAAGAACGGTTTGAAGCGATACTCGGTGTAGCGTTCGTTGTTCGAAACGCAGGCACGGGAGACGGGTTGGGCTTCCTGTAAGTTTAATCGCAGAAAGACTGTTTGCTCGATGTGCGCTCGAACGTTGCGAGCGGTGGAGAGGGTGAAGAAAGAGATGACCCGCGGCGATCAAGCAGCGACAGGTTGGGGAGAGAGCGACGTCAACGCGTGCGCACTGCAAGGAAAGGCGTGACCTACATGGCACCGCCCCGACACCTGTGGCCAGGAGAGTGAGGGTGTGGACAGAGCGACAGCTTTACACAGGTTAGTCAAATGACTGCTTCACATTTGAAACTTCATATAAAATACAAAAGGGCGGAATATAGACTAAACAGCTCCACGTCATTGAAGTGAAACGAATTTCTTTTTCGACGAGTTTTCTCGGCTGAAAAAGTAGACGAAAGGATAACTTGCCTTCAGTGTCAGGTTATTTTTTCGTCCACTGTCGTTATTCGAATTAACATTACAATTACTTTTAATAACGTCCCCTATACTTCCCCTGACATTATTGTCAGTTTTCATTAATGTTGTGTCTAATAAAGAAAACAAGCCCTTAACTCTACACTTTCCTTCATGCATAACAAAACAAAAGTCATTTACCTGTTAGCGAACTAACCTACGTTCTCTTATACTCGCGTCACAAGTCGCGTATTCCTACCGTTACGCATTGTTTTCTCACGTTTTAGTGTTTGTATAACAGTATATGGCATAACGGCTCTCTTCATAACACCTATGTGATTTATCGGGCCCTGAGTTCGTAACATAATTGATGGATTTATTTAAGAGCACCAAATATAAGAGCTTTATACCCTATTCTATACACCTTATCAAAACAGCTCCCTGTGGACCACCATATTCCCTTTAGGTAGAGGTCTACACGTGTGACCTCCCGCCCCCCTCCAAAAAAAGCGAACTTTCGGGGTGTCGCGGCAGCTTCTCTACTTCCATACCTAAGGCGGAGGAGATGCTGTCCTTCTCAGTCAAGAATGTTGTAAACAATTTGCACTCAATAGAAGAATCACCTTCCTCCTGGACAGCGGCACGTGAAAGCAGAGGATGACGTGACTGGCCCAGACGTGCGTTGTACGGGGGGGGGGGGGGGGTCACGTCTGTTTAACTTAACCGGCACTGCCTCAATCTACAGGGAATCATGGCGGCCCACAGGTAGCCCAATCTGGAACGGTTCATGCCGAACCTCACGGAGAATGGCATTAAAAAGAATGAGGGAAATACTTGGTGCGACAGATGCACGAGGCGTTTTGCGATGTAGTTGCATCCGGCTAGGTAGGTATTCGTACAACTATTAGGAGTTAGTATTTTCGATGACGCATGCAAACGTTATTAGATTATAAGTTTCGTACGGCTTACTTGTAAATGAAGTTTTTGATCCGGCCACCAGTGAACCGACGGGGCACGAAAGACCCTGGAAGGACGAGAACCAACAGTTACCAGATTTGCCTTGGTGACCACCAGCGTGAATCACGGGGGTTCAGGCAGGCATTCATCAGTCGTATAAAATGAAATAGAGAAAAAAAATTCCGGCTTAATTCGCAGTGAAGCTTACCATTTCATGAAAAGCTGTTCGCTTGATTAGATGAATGATATTCAGGGCCCATACTTAATCAAGTTACGTCACATTCATTTCATTCACTAATTTTCTGGACAATAGAAGGGAATGCCCGCGGTCAGGGCAAGAGGGGATGCATGGTTTGCCTCCTAACTTGGTCCTGCTCAGTTGGCTTTTGTTGTATAGTTGCTAGTTTACAGTGGTGCCACAAGCAAACGCAGCCCGCGTCACCTAAGTATACTCGCCTGTAAAATGGTCAGCCAGGCCAAGCTTTCGCTGACTAGACTGTATTAAAAAATGAGGGACTCAAAGAAAAACTAGTCAGTGAACTATACTCCCAGCGACCTTAGGTCGCTGCCGACTGTGTTTTAAAGTAGGTGCAGGAAGGGCATCCATGTCTCCAATGTGGTGATTGCAATCATATTCAATCTTGCACCGAGAAACGACATTTCAGTGAATGGCGGCCTTTATTGTCACAGAACTTGATTATACCTTTGAAATGCAAATCATGACGGAGTCGCAGCCCTTGAGGAGATTCTTGGGCGGCAGGCCCAGGTACGGTGCCGCATTCATGATCCTCGCACTGTCCATATGAAGCGGTATGTTGTGGCTCCTGGCAAAGCGGGCAGCCTGCGGTGCGAGGGAATCGTAATCGAATCCGAGATCGACAGCTAGTCTGCCACCGATCAACAATCTCGGTGGTCGCCACCGCGGACACCTCAAAGTTTAGGCCGATACTCGCCTTGAGAGTACACTCAGGAAAGCAAATCAAGGCCCGTCGGCGATTCGAGACACAGCACCTTCACCTAAGCCCTTACTTCTCCTCGGTTTTATTCGGAATGCAACCACGTAACAAAAAGTGATCCTCGTCTTTATTCAATTTCATTGTGCCCGTATTTGGCGACGTTATGTAGCGACGCGGCTGGTATGACAAGGTTGCTTACATTCATAGTTGTACACACGTGGAGGCAGAGGGGAAGGAACGTTCCCCCCCACTTCACCATAAATTCTGCCTATACGTTCACTTATTACGGGGACAGGGTGGCTGCGATAGCTGCGCGGCATCCTCCTCCCCTCTCTCCCACTTTTACTTCCTCACTGCACTTGCAGGACTAAATAACCTGACTGTGGCCCCCTGAATGCAGTGAGTTTGAAACCCCTGCTACATTGTTCATGGATGGCTTGCAGTGTCATCCCTAGAGCAACCATGTTTCAGTGGCCACAAAGTTCATGACGTAACGTTAACATTACCAGTACACAACGTGACTTTCGTCTGTTATTCGTACACAGATGCTATAAATGTTGCAGCGGCATCGTTATTTTACACTGGAGCCGGATAATTCTTACCCTATTATGCCTCCCATAGATTTCACCAACGCCACCGCATTGAAGAAACAGAAAAAGACCACTGACACCAAATTGAAACCTCGAGATGTTTGTGTCGTTTGACTGTCCTGTACACATAGACACATCTGAGCGGTTGTTATAGCGGCGAACCTGCGGCCATAACGTCACATCCAAGCAATCAGTTGCGTCATGATCACGAAGTTTGGGCCCCCCTGCACCTGTTCCACGTTGTTGACGGAGAGCACGGTGCCTCCACAGAAGTTGTGAGTGTTCTCGAGGCACAGCAGTGCCGTCCTGGGGCAGGGTATGTTGCGGTACCTGACGCGCGACTCGAGGTCTTCGATGAGCAGTCGGCCGTCGCTCTGCGTCGGGACGGCCCAGCTGTGCACCGAGGCCACCTGCGCCGAGGAAATTGCGTGGCTAAACGTCTGTAACAGCGCGCCACATTGCACACTTGAATCGATCTACACTAACGCTTAGACTGTCTTCGCAGACCACTTCTACCACTCCCGTGGTAGAAGTGGTCATAGATATCCGCATAGATGTCCGCATCTATGAGATGCGGACATCTATGCGGGCGCTCCTGCTTTCCATCATTCAGATCTTTTCTTGAACTCACATTCCATTTCCGTGCACCTTTCTATCTATCTATCTATCTATCTATCTATCTATCTATCTATCTATCTATCTATCTATCTATCTATCTATCTATCTATCTATCTATCTATCTATCTATCTATCTATCTATCTATCTATCTATCTATCTATCTATCTATCTATCTATCTATCTATCTATTTATCTATCTATCTATCTATCTATCTATCTATCTATCTATCTATCTATCTATCTATCTATCTATGTATCTATCTATCTATCTATCTGTCTATCTATCTATCTATCTATCTATCTATCTATCTATCTATCTATCTATCTATCTATCTATCTATCTATCTATCTATCTATCTATCTGTCTATCTATCTATCTGTCTATCTATCTATCTATCTATCTATCTATCTATCTATCTATCTATCTATCTATCTATCTATCTATCTATCTATCTATCTATCTATCTATTTATCTATCTATCTATCTATCTATCTATCTATCTATCTATCTATCTATCTATCTATCTATCTATCGATCTGTCTGTCTGTCTGTCTGTCTGTGTGTCTGTCTGTCTGTCTGTGTGTCTGTGTGTCTGTCTGTCTGTCTGTCTGTCTGTGTGTCTGTGTGTCTGTCTGTCTGTCTGTGTGTCCGTCTGTCTGTCTTGAGGCCCGTGTGCTTAGACGAAAGTGCACGTGAAAGAACCCAAGGTGGTCAAAATTTCCAGATTCCTCCACAGAGACGTCTTTCAACATCGTATGGTGGTTTCGGGACGTTACAGTTCAGTTTAAATGATTGCGAAAAACAAATATAACATGCGCTTCTTGAAAAGGTGACGTACCTGCGCCGTCCCTCCCTGCTCACAGAGGAAGATGTGGGACGCAACGCTAACCAGGATCTCCTCTCCCCTTCTGTCGCTGTGGGCCATCACTGCATATTACGTAAGAGACACATTGTCATCTTACGCCATCTCACGACTTGACCCGATAGTAACGACGTTAGAGTACTTCTTTCAACAGAAGAGCCGTTCAGGCTTTTCGTTTCGAGTGCGGCGTTCGCGGAAACTCCGCGCGTATGCACCACTGAAAGCTAGTATGTGCCAAGCAGCCCCTATCGTCTAGCCACCGATGCCTGGTGATAGTCAGTCGATGACCAATCAATAGTTAAGCGATACTATGGCTTAAGTATATGGCTTCATCCGCGAAGCACGTGAACAATTTCCGGCATTTGTCTTCGGCGCTTCAAACACTGAGGGCCATCCGGAACAACCTCGTAGTTGACGTCACTGGTGCATCGAAGAACCGCGTGGGGTTCGGAGTATCTGTGCAACAGCTTTTCGGAGAGCCCGCACCTACGAGTCGGTGTCCAGACCTATGCACTTTGCCGCCCACGTTGTATATGGTGGGTCTGTGTCGGAGGTTGTAATGTTTGGCATGGTCATCTTTTTTTTTCGGTGATTCACAACCTGGCAAGTTGCCTGACTTATTCTGTTAGCTGCGTAAACTCTTCGGCATCCGTCTCATCGCTGTTATTTTCGTGAGGGAACACCACGTGTAACGTTGTCGTCACATCACGTCCGTAAACAAGGACTCGCTTGCTGGATTTCGGGCCGACCGGTCGTGCGCTCGCGCGCTCCGCGCGCTTGCGACCTCCGGCGTCAGCGTGGCTCTGGCAGACTGGGCTCGCCCTACGTCACCTCCTGCCGCCGACGACCTTCCACCCCCGACGACAGTGCAGCTCTGACTTACTGGACTTGCTCTACGCCATCCATTGACACCAAAGGAGCTCTCGCAGGTGCGCCCCGTCCTCAGACTCTAGTGACCGTGCTCCCATCTTTCCCATCTCTTCTATCCACTCATTTTGTCGTCGCTCGCTCTGGTTTACCACCTCACGTCTCTTCCTCTCTTCTCCTTCTTCGGCTTTCCTATACCCCGCGACAACTTTCTGTGGCAGCACAGCCAAGGCTACGGAGCCGAAGCACGCTTGTCTTACTGCGCCACAGCATGTAGTCCCTCAACGAAAACGTTTGTATACTGTTCTGGGTAACTAAGATTTTACCATTCGTCACTTACATTTTTCGCGGATTTATTTTTTAATTAGTGAATAAAAACGTTGCGCAGTAGAAAAAATTTCGTTTCACGCTCTCTCAGGTTTTTTGGGGTTTTTTTGGCTTCCGTCGCCTTTTTACCTCACCGCATTCCTCACTGTCAAAGATGGCGTCCGCCGGTTACAGCTCGTCAGCGTCGCTTACGGAGGAAACACCGCCGTGTGCCGCGAGTCCACCAGCTGCGCAGCCGTACCAGGCGTTGTCAAATCAAAAGCTGTCCGTACAGGCCAAGAAAGTGCCGTACAACGTTTACGCGCAAGTAAGGAAAAGCGACCCGCAGCTGTCTGTGAGAGCCGCATGTCGGAAAGTCAGCGAGCTCACTGGTGTTAGCGAGCGCAGTGTCAAAAACGGTACGTGCATGATGAGTTGTGTAATCATCACATGAATAATTGAATGTATCATTCACCCAGCAACCTGGGTCCACGCGTCAGTAAATCACGTCACAATATTATTAAAAATTGCTCTCGAGTTCCCAAAGATGCGACTCGCGTTTCCTGCAGCGAAACGCGAGCAAGCGCGAGCCGACGCGGACTGTGCTGGTGAAATCGAAACCGAAACACCCGTTGAAGCGGTCGGACTACTTGGCGCAGTGGCACATGTGCATAGGCTCCGCCCACGTAGCCTTGGCCGTGCTGCTACAGAAAGTTGTCGCCGGGTATACATCTTTACTCCTATCCTTTTTATCTCTCCTCACCCCCATCTCTCGTGAGCTACTGTGGCGGTGTCGCTCACTGAAGCAGACAATAATGGGGCTTACTTTTCTCTTCTTTTCTCTTTTTTAAGAATCACGTCTCCGTAAACGAGACTGAAGGAGCTCTTCCGAGAGTTCTCCTGACGATCTGCGCTTTACACGAATGCGACGTATGGCTGGATGTCGTCCAAGTTCTTGAGCTCTGCATCTACGTACATGCTTATCATGTCAGCCAGGGTCTTGTTGAGGCGTTCAGTGAGTCCGTTGGTCTGGGGATGATACGCCGTTGTCTTTCTGTGAGCTGTACCGCTTAGTCGGAAAATGGTGTCCAAAAGCTCGGCCATGAACGCCGTACCTCTGTCGGTGATGACTATTGCGGGAGCACCGTGTCTTAAGGCGATGGCTTCGATGAAAAATTGCGCCGCTTCAGCTGCCATTGCCCGTGGCAGAGCGCCTGTCTCCGCGTATCGGGTCAGGTAATCCGTGGCGACGATTATCCACCTGTTTCCAGTGGCAGACTTTGGGAAGGGGCGCAAAAAATTCATGCCAATTTGTGCGAACGGTGTCGCTGGCACTGGAACAGGCTGCAGCAGGTCAGCTGGTTTGATGGAAGGTGGCTTGCAACGCTGGAAATCTAGACATGCCTGCACGTAAGTTTTGACAACTTCGGCAAGTCCTGGCCAGTAATAGTTCTGCCCTATCCTCGCCAATGTTCTTGCGTAACCCAAGTGACCAGCGGTAGGTTCGTCGAGGCAGGTTTGCAGTACCTCACGGCGAAGCGAAGTAGCAATGACGAGCGAGTAGATGCTGCCGGTGGGTTAAAAGCTCCTCTTATAAAGAACGTCATTTCGCAAGCAGTACGACGGCAGCCCTCTCGCAAATAAATTCGGCACGCTATTCGTTTTCCCTTGCAGGTTATTTATGAGTGGTAGCAGTTCAGCATCGTCACGCTACTGTTGAGAAAAGGCGGCAGTGTCCACAATTCCCAGGAAGACCGTGTCATCACCGTCGTTGTCTGGGGATGCCGTCTCAACAGGAGACCGAGAAAGACAGGCGGCATCGGTGCGTCGTTTTCCCGACTTGTAGGCAACAGTGAAGTCAAATTCTTGGAGCCGAAGACTCCATCGTGCAAGACGGCCAGACGGATCTTTCAAGTTGACTAACCAACAGAGAGAGTGGTGATCGCTGATAACAGTGAATGGTCGGCCGTACAAATAAAGACGAAACATCAGGATGGCCCATACCATTGCAAGACATTCTTTCTCCATTGTAGTGTAGTTAGCTTCCACTCGGGACAGCGTCCTGCTCAGGTAGGCGATCACCCTTTCGTTGTTGTCCTTTGATTGTATGAGCACTGATCCAAGACACACATTACTACCGTATGTATGAAGCATTGTTGGTGCGTCTTCATCGAAGTGGGCCAGCGCAGGGGGTGTTTTCATGCGCTGACGAAGCTCGTGAAACGCCTGCTGTTGGTCTTCGCCCCATCTGAAGGGGGTATCTTCCCGAGTAAGCTGTGTCAATGGACATGCGATGCACGAAAAATTAGCAATAAACCGCCGGTAATAGGCACAGAGTCCCAAAAAACGTCGCACTGTTTTTTTGTCTGATGGCGTCAGGAACTTTACCACGGCGGCAATTTTATCCGGGTCTGGTCGAATCCCTTGACTGCTCACGACGTGACCGAGGAATTAAAGTTCGTGGAAGCCGAAGTGGCACGTTTCAGGTTTTAGAATAAGACCGGCCAAGCGTATTGCTTCAAAAACTGCTTCGAGCCTTCGTAAGTGTTCCTCCAAATTCGCCGAAAAGACAATCACGTCGACGAGGTACACCAAGCAGGTTTGCCACTTAAGTCCCGACAGAACCGCGTTCATGAGGCGCTGGAATGTTGCTAGCGTCGAACACAAACCGAAAGGAAGTACCTGAAATTCATAAAGTCCATCGGGCGTAACAAAGGTGGTCTTCTCACGACCTCTCATCCACTTCAATTTGCCAGTAGCCGCTTTTCAGGTCCATGGATGAAAAGGAGCGTGCGTTTCGTAGTCTATCCAATAAATCATCAATACGTGGCAGAGGGTGGACGTCCGTCTTTGTGATCTGATTAAGCTTCCGGTAGTCGACGCAGAAACGCAAGCTGTCGTCCTTCTTTTTGACGAGAACTACAGGGGATGCCCAAGGACTGTTATATGGCCGAATAACACCATTTTCAAGCATCGTTTTCACCTGTTTTTGAATTGCCTCACGCTCCTTTGGGGCGACATGATAAGGATTTTGCCGGATGGGTATGGCGTCGGAATTCGTGATGATGCAGTGTTTCGTTAGTGCCGTTTGACAACTCTTGATGTGGATGAGAAGCAGCCGTGGAACTTGTTGATCAGCGTAAGAAGGCGGTCTCGCTCAATGCGAGATTACGTTGAACCAACGTCGACAGGTGTCGGTGTAGTGATAGTAGGCGCTGCTGCTTCCTCCACTAAATGACAATCTTCTGTTTGCGAGAGTACGTCGAAAGAAGCAATAGCCGTGCCTTTCTCTATGTGTTGGCTTTCTGTACTGGAATTTGTCAATAAGAGTTCAGCACATCCGTGAATAAAAGTGATGATAGCCCTGGCAACAGAAATGCCGCTAGTGAATGCGAGCTCCTTGATGTGTTCAGCGATGCCAGTACCGTTTTGTAAGATTTCACAGTGCACGGATAGGAGGGAACAACTTTGTGGCGGCAGTATGACGTCCTCATCGGCAATACGGAAGCGAGGTGGCTGGTGTTACTCATCTGTGGCAGTCTCCGATCTTGTAGCGAACGTTACGCTTCTGTCACGGATGTCAATCACAGCCCCGTATGCGCACAAAAAATCCTTTCCCAATATGATCTGTTTACAGCGCTCGTGAAGAAAGACGAGGGTGGTGACAAAAGTGGAACCAGCGATGAAGAGTCGGGCATCTAACATCGAACATCTAACATCTCTCTAACATGGTCAAACTAGTAAAGAGGGTCCTACATAGCCGAGTAAGTATCTGGATGGCAGACAATTTTGTAATAAAACTGAACCAAGTCGGCTTTCGTAGTGATTTCTCTATTTCATGTGCCTATGCTGATTTAGAGAGCCGAATACAGCTCGTTCGAAAAAGAAGG